TCATGGAAAGATCCGTCCCGATCCACATGGGAGAGACGGGCACCTCGTATATCGGCCAGTGAAAATTCTCGCTCGCCGTTTGTGGGGTGCGCCTCCGGTCCAGGTGGTGGGATTCTAATAAGCTTTGACCACCGCGTATTCAGTTTGGGAAAGGCGTCACTGTGGGACATCGGAGCACCACCCAAAAACTGATCAAGCTTCCGGGCTGCATCTCAGCCTCTCAGTTTGCTCCGCGCTGCGTTGCGTGCGCAGTTGAGCATCGCCGGCTTTGGGAGAGACCGGATGAAACCAAACTATCAATTGTCCCCCATTTTGCCTCCGGAAAGGCACCGCTGGATGAAGGGAGATATTCCCTTACACGGAAAGCGGGATGAGCCCTGTGGGTGTGTAGCGATGAAACTATCAGGACGGGCCCAGCCGAGCATTGAGTGTGCCAGTAATTCCGCGAAGTGCCTAGCTGGTGTCGCCTTTGTTTGTTTGTCGCTTGAATGATAACGGCCTGTTTTTCTGTCGGTCTCCGTAAAATTAAACGCTCACAGATAACGTTGAACTCCAGTCCCCGCAGGAAGATGTGAATCAAACCTTGGCGTCTGGAGTAAGTTGGATAAATCGCTCTCATCAAGCAAAGAGTACTACCTAATCCCAGAACCGCAGGTGGTACCTTACCAATTGGGAAAAGGGAGAGAACGACGGCGGACTTTCGAAGAGGACGACTAATATCCGCAAAGAAAGCTACTGCAAGTAAGGTGCTCCTGACTGCGTAAAGGTCGGTAGATATTACGCAGGAAGGCTCAACCGCCATGCGGATGTGGGTGACTCCTACGGCGGTCAACAACGTGGCAGTCTGACTGCATCCATGTGCTTCTAGAATGTAAACGCAGGGATCGGACTGTGATTGATCATAATAAAAAGAAACGATTGGATCAATTCATCATAATTTTAGTATCATTGTCGGCCGCCGGGCTGATTTCTTTGCTTTGTTATGTTTGTTCGAGGCCATTCACAAATACACGCGATGTAAGGCGCGGACAATACAAACACGCCCCAGCAAAAAAAGCAGCCAGTTGTGTCAGTTTGCCGAACTCCGGACCAGCGTGGACCAGTGAGGTTTGTTCGTGGTTTTAGGTGCTATGCAGGGGTGGACGGGCACGGGTAGACGGGAGAGCAGCGTACTGAGGTACGTACTCGTACTGGTATGACCAAAACCAGTTGGCCGGTTCCCAAGAGTCTGGTACCTTAGGGTCCTTCGGGGGGGGGGGAACTGTGCCACAGTGCCACCTGGGACCAGCGCGACCGGCTCGGGGTACAGAAGGGGCCCGGGCATGTACCGCATCTCAGGAAGGTACGTGTACCAGCAGTGCACGACATCTTTCGTAGGTGCAAGGAAGAAAATAAAATAGAAACAAACTAGCGAACACATGAGAGGCGATCGACAGATCTTCGAACGGAGAACCCTGAGCGGAATCATCACCTCTCCGATTGATACTGTCTGGAGGGAGCCACCCACTCATGCAAACTCGTCGGTTCCGGACTGCGCCTACGTTATCCCACCCCTCGATCTAGGCCTCGATCTCCCAACTTAGTGGCCTTTGTTGTTTTGGTGCTGCGGGAATTCGAAGACAGAGCTCGCAACGCGCGCGACGCGTGGGAGTCGGTGAATTTGACTCGTAGCGGTGCCCGTGCGTGGACGGGTACAGCGCACGTCCGGTGCACCACTACCATGCACGTCTTCTGGATACCTGCCTGCCTGTTGCACCCTGGTCTGGGCCAAGCGATCAGACTCACCCGGGCTCTTCAGATCAGAGCCAGAAGAAACATTTCCAGCGGCACGCGGCACCTAGAGCCATGAGGCAAAGACATTCACCTGCGACAAACCTCATGGTCTGTGGTCTGTGTGGAATTCGAGATTGAGACATCAGGCTGTGAGAGGCAGCCCAGCCAAGGCAGCCTGGCCCAGGAATCAACACGCATGTTGTCTCATCAAATCGGATCTCACCAGAAGAAGCCTTCTAGCCCTTCGGGGCCTGGGAGAGTTGCTAGAGTCCAGACCGGTCCTTGGCCAATTGACTTCGGCTGGCAGGGGAGCTGCCCCATGAGTCCGAATCTGCATGGTGTGCACAGGGCCCCTACAATTCACACGCACTTATCTTGATCCATCCTTGCAAGGGCCAGTGAGCCGTCTTGCTGGCTATCGCGGCGCGGACCCACGGAGAACATCCGAGCACGTGGAGTACGTAAGGTAGGATCGACCTGATGGCAAGCAAGTTGCATATGGTTTCCTGGAGAGGTTGCACCGAAGGCGCCTATGCGCTGTGATCCTTGGCTGCAAGGCAAGGTTGGCCTTTGTCTTTTCCACCAAGCAGAGGAGGGGCTGTGCTGTCGCCGCCTAGGAAGGGGAGGGCGAGGGCATTTCCGTTCGTGGTCTTGCGTATGTCCGTCGCTGAGTTGGTTCAGCAACATGCGCCGATTTCCTTGGCACGCACGGTCGCCCCCAAAAGCAAAGGAGTTTTTTCCCTCATGCCCAGCAATCTGAATCATTAGATGGAGAAGCAGAGATTCCAGAGGAAATATTGCATCTCGTCTTATTCCGATCTATCATATTAATGCAACATGTCCAATATCTTATTCAGCATTGATGACTACTGCACGGACAACGGCTACTGCCGACAATCCTTGGGCCCATCATACCATCTTCTCGTTAGGGTGACCTTGGGAGGTGGCTTCAGAGCAGAAGATGGGATGGGGTGCTACGTGCGGGGACTTTGAGGCCCGTGGAGGTACCTCGAGCAATGGGTGTACAATGCCACCCAAGACGAGCCTGCATGGCCAAGGGCCTGTGCCGCTCCGATACCCTGGTGGCCCCGAATTGTGTTGGTTGGAGCCCAATGTGCAGGCACTAATACGGGATTGCTCACGCACACGCACACGCACGCTGCTCGCGCTCGGATTCCGTTGTTCTCTCTCTCCTGCTGCCTCTATGACGACACAAATCTTGTGTTTTCGACGTAGTGTGGTGGTATGGATAAAGACCAAGACGAACATGGAAGTGATGATTTGCACAAGTAGTACTAGGCGATGGAGGGGTGCACCACTAGGGACCGATGATACCGAAACGAGACACATCTGGACGAGCTTGGCGGAACATGCCGTGGCAATTAACCATTCTCGCTTCTTTTTTGTCCGCGCCCCTTTCAAGGCGCCTTTTGTTGCTCTTGACTCGTCAGACCAAGAAATTAAGATATGCCACAATTCCAGTGCTGGGTCAATGTAGAGGAGGATACTAAGACGAAGAAAAGGAAAAAAAAAAAGAGGGCAGGAGGAGCATGGCATTGTGTAGAGTGGGTAGGGACTATCCGGAGCAGTCCTCCTCATTTACATGAACAACATGCTGGATAGGTGGGAAAAGCAAAGTCGTTTAGACCGAATGGGGATCCAGGCCTAGGAGACAAGAAGACCGAAATGGGTGAGAAGCTGAGATGTGCATGAGCTGTCGGCGAATCCAACCAGTTCTCGCCCCAGGAACCGCTGGTCAAACAGGCAGGTAAGTGTGGACGGTCGGCTGACTTTGGGGAAGTGGTGATGCGGCGTTCTTCCTTCCTACGTACATGGAGGTGTGTGCGACGGAGGCGGCGGCAAGAGCACCCGCCTGTGTCTCTCTCCGTCGTGACGGTCGGCGGTGGGTGTGGTGATTTTGGGAGTTCTGTCAGCTCACGACTGCAGAACCGCTGGACGGTGGGTGGTGGGGAAGGATGGGATTATCCGGCTCGAATCCCGGCTTCCACATGCGCAAGTACCTCCAGGTATCTCGCATGCAGATGCCCTGGTCCTCTGCCATGCCCTGCATCCCTGCCCGGATTCCACCTCATCAACAACGCAACAGGTACGGGCGGCCGATCGTCTTTCGGGGTCGCGAACTGAGCGTCTTCAGGTCCCAAGCATCCTCCCACATCTCTTTACACGACCTGTACCTGGCTGCAGGCATGTACAAGCGTGCCGCATGTGCCATGTTCCCAAAAGAGAGACGCACGAAGTGTAATCTGCGTTTGGTGGCGTGCTGAACTGCACCTGGAATCACCCTCGTGGAACCCAATTGAAAGCAAGCAGCCTGCCCTATCCCTTCTCAGGCCAGAGCTTGGGGAGACAGGGATGTCATCATTCAGGCAGACAGGCAGCCGTGTAGCTATCCTCAATCTGTCCGATGGGATACTAAATATTGAGATAAACTCTCTTTTAGCCCTATGGTGTGTTTTCAACAAGAGATTGGCAGATAATGCGTCGGGTCAAGCAAAGTAAGCCCTTGACAGACAGCTGGCTGAATGGAGGAAGAGCAGCATACACAAGCCAGCTGAACTGCATTGTCTGTCACTGATTGCTTTTTGCCAAGTACCTTGTACCCGACGTTGCAGCTATCTGCCCAGCTCAAGCGGGATCACTGGGGGCCTGGGCAGTTGATGACGGGCAGAGGCTAACAGAGCCCAGCTTCTCACCTCATCTCGTACAATCAATCACACGCTGCCAACTCTATTTGGGCAGCCCCACGGATGAATAGGGAAATGCAGGCCAGCCTCTGATAGGCGATGGTCGGTTTCTTGGTCGTCTCCCTAGGGAAGGTGGCTCGCCTTGGGCTGTCCCAGAGCGGCACCCTCTGCTGGAGTTGGATGGCAACTGGTTTCCCTGGTTGGAAACCAACGGCCTCTTTCGACCAGTACAGCCAGATACATCAGCACGCATCGCATCGCTGGTGCGGGGCAGCAGTTGTGGTTGCACCGGCCCAGAGGTCGGAACCCCATAAAAAAAGCCTGCCTTTGGGCTCTAGACCATCTGTGTATCTCTGTACCCTGCTGCCTGAGTGCTCCGAGACCTCAGCTGGCTCCCCCCCTTCGGCGTCGACGCTGCTTCTGCCCTGGCCCCTGCGCCAGCCTGTGGAACCCCCTGGCCAGGGTGGGCTCCAAGGGAGGTGGGTGTCAGCCCAGGGCACCTCGCTGGGACCTGAGGGGGTGTCACCAATGGGCAGACCAGGCGCTGGCGCCACCTTGACGGAGGAGCCCAGGGCCACCGTCCTTGCCTTGCAGCTCACGCACCAAGCCCAGCCTGTCCTGGCGCCAGGCTGGACCCTCCATTCGCCGGCGCCCTGGCTGCTCGGATTGGCCCTGGCTCGAGGTGTTGGCAGTTGGAGGGCACACCCAGAGGAGGTCCAGAGGGATGACTGCGACCGCTTTGCAGATGGCACCCTGGCCCTTGGACTGGACTGGGCCGGGCCAGGCTGGGCGGGCCTGGCGTCCCCCTGTCCCTGAGCCAGAGACAGTCGCCCGGGCTGAGGAGAGGTTCAAGTCGACCCAAGTCTCCTCGTGTGCTGTGACCCCAGAGCCACAACGTTGTCGCCAGCTTCGCTTCCCATTGGGTGTTAGTGCCCACGCTTCTGGCAGGGAGATGGGGGGCGTCTTGCTGCTCCGATGGATCGCGTTGCCCGCTTCACCCCCAGCTGCCCAGCCGCAAGAGACGACATCACACGCCATCGCACAGACGCTCTCTTGCCCTACCGCACCAAGATGGCGGGTCGTCCATATGGCCATACATCAGCACTTACATGATGCCGGGGGGTAGTTAGATTGGTCTGAGGAGGCCCGCGGGACAAAACCTACAAACATACGCCATCATCCCATCGTGTCCTTCCTCATCCGTGCCTTCCCTTCCTCTACCACCTTCACCCTTCGTCCTGCTCATACTTATTTGAGCTCGTCTCCCTATCCCTTCCGGTGCCCTTGGCCACGACCATTGACGAGTGATCTTCCCCCCCTTCACAATCGTCATCTACCATCCCACCTGTTAGTTGAAGTGGGTGGTGTCTCACGCTCCTCCTACCCTCGCTTCTCTGTGCTGCTGCACTACTTCGCATCACTCACCCTTTTCGTGAGCAACCCTCGAAGGCAAATCCTGCATATTAATAAGACTCCTCCAAGAGCCTGCTCTTGATGTCTTTGGCTTCACTATCAACACAAGGACATTCTTTACTGCCTGCTTTCTCTTGCTTTTAATCTGCTACCACACCCCGACTGGCTCATCTCTAATTGTATGTCGCTCGCTTCCACACAACAATAACAACGAACAACGGTATTCCTTCGGACCCTCTCTTGATCGAATTCTCTGCTTTGCGCCTATTTCACGCTTGATTCGAAACACTGTATTGTGCTTTTGCGATCCGACCTGCCTACGATGAGCTCATATACCCAGCCGCAATGGCCAACTTGGGCCTATACCCCCGAGGTCAACGACCCGTTTTCTGGCTATCCTCAGTATAACAATTACACCACGTACCTCGCCGACTCAATGGAGTCCTACCAGACTCACCACCACCACCACCTTGTCCACAATCATCAGATGTCCCGCACCACCGAGTCTAAGCCTCGTCTTTCCAAGGAGGAGGTTGAGCTTTTAGAGGCTGAGTTTCAGAAGAACCACAAGCCTAACAGCACCGTCAAGAAGGGATTGGCTGAGTCAATGAGGGTCGACAATGCCCGTATTAATGTTAGTGACTTTTTGCGGTTGCGCAGTCGTCGGCGAAGCCATATGATCTTGTGCTAACCCTGTTTGTCTTAGAATTGGTTCCAGAACCGACGTGCTCGTGAGAAGAAGGAGAAGAATATTCGCGAATATGAGGCCAGACAGAAGCTTGAGAAAGATCCGTCCCAGGATTCTGAGGACTCGGCTGCGCACCGCAAGAGTGATCTTGTCGCTTCAAGCGCGCCATTCCCAAACACACAGACGGCCCCATCCCGCTCACACACTGGAACTCCAGATGGCTCCTCTAGCCCTGCTTCACTCTTCCAAGCCAAGGAAACTCCTGTGTCTGACAGCAGTGTCATTCTTCCAAGCACAGAGCTGTCTCCCCAGCTGTCTCCCGAGCTCACTGTCAAGCGAGAGCCCGGATATGACGATGTCAATGCTGTTGCTCAGTATGACCAGATTGGAAACTCCGAGTTACTGGCTGACAACGAGCTCTCCCCCAATGCCCTCTCGGATAGCCACGAGCAGGAGTTTATGCTTTCGGCCGGTGGCTCCGAATCTGGCTATTATATGAGCCAATTGAATGGATCGGCTGGAGCGCCATTCCAGGCCTCTGGTGACTTTCAAACCGCCAACCCCCAGAAGCCCTCCCAAATCATTGATATCGCAGCCCGCAGAAATCGCCGCCCTCCTCCTCTGTCGATCAACGGTGGCTCAAGGAGCCACTCGACTGGTCTCCTGAAGACTGGAGTTGAAATGGGTCGACGACTCGACGTCTGTAACTCGATCCGCCGAGTCGCCTCGTCCACTGGTCCCATGCGTGTTCAGAAGCCGGTCGGCACACCCCGTAGCCCTTTCTTTAGCAGGGCTGGTGACGGGCTTCAGCTCAAGCGATCCCCAGTCCTTTCTGGAATCAAAGGCTCGAACGCACCACCGACTCCCGATACCCCAGTTGTTATCGCGACACAGTCTCTGGATTCTGCCCACCCAGACTCCGACTCCGACTCAAGTGACAGGTTTTCTGTCCCTGACATGGCCATCCATGATCCTACCCTGCGAACACCACCAACAACTCCAGGCGTCATGGAGGGATATTTCAGCCTCAACGCCGTCTACGATATGCAGATGCCATCGGATGGTCTGCTCACACCCAGCATGGCCACCTACTCCAACAACATCGAAGTTAACAACGTGCCGATCGGTGTCCCGGCGTATATCGCCAACCCTACTGGATGCTCAAGCCAGCCAGTGACGCCATCTCTTCCTGCTCACACCACTGGTGGATATTTTGGCATCACTAACAGCAATGCCGAGTACCAATGGCCCGATCACTCCTCGCGCAACTCTTCGCCTGTTCGAGGTCCTCAGCAGCCTCAGTTCATGAACATGACAACATCGAGCTTCTCTCCTTCCGACAGGTAACGCAACCTGCAGGCGGCGTTTCATCAGCCTATTTTCATTTTATACTTGCGTGTATTTTCAGCGTTCGAGTTCGTTTGTGTCCCTCCTTTCAGAGTCTATACATGGATATCATGAGTATATGAAGGATCTGGTTGTTTTTCTTGCAATGTATTAGAGGATATACCTGTTGAAGGATTTGGCGCATGAATGGTGGGAAAATTAGCGAAATGATTTTTTAGGAAAGTTATACTGCATTTTCAAGTGGATAAGAAGATGAACACGGGTTATTCAGTCAATCTGGACCTGTGTATTAATACTGGAACAATTATTTCTTACTACAATGATTTTGTCTCTGTGATTGACTGTCTATTTTTTGAAGTAGATGGAGGGGACGGTACCTACGATCACCCCCTCAATTTTGTTTGGTGAGCTAAATATACGACAATAGCAGCATGTCTCGTATAGTCCGGTATGGTGTAGTGGCTAACATCGCTCGCTCTCACCGAGCAGCCCTGGGTTCGATTCCCAGTACCGGAGAGATAAGTGTTTTCTTTTTGCCTCTTTTGGCTCCCCACTAAGCCGAGAACCATAATGTCAATTATCCACTTTTTTTTGGCTTTAATATCACCGTGCACTCCTAAAGGGGAAGAGAAGCTTCTCCTACAAGAGACAACCAAAGATGTGCGGCATACACGCTGTTGTATCGCCACATACACCAGCGCCTCTTGAGACGAAAGTTGAGCGTCTTCTTCAGCGAAGAGGCCCAGACCACACAGGAAATGTCACGCAGCACCTGGCCGACCTGTCCTTGACAGCTTCGTTCACGTCTACTGTTCTCTCGCTACGAGGTGATCATGTAGCTGAGCAACCCCTGGTGGATCCCGATACGGGATCCGTGCTCTGTTGGAATGGCGAGGCCTGGAGAATCCACGGCCAGGCCGTGTGCCAGAACGATACCGAAGCGGTGCTGAGCCTCCTCGTAGCCGCAAGCCTCAAACGTCAAGACGGACAGCATGACATGTCCCTTGACCCAGTTCTAGAGGCCCTGCAAGATATTGAAGGCCCCTTCTCATTCATCTACTATGACAAGCTGGCAAAACGACTCTACTATGGACGTGACCGTCTGGGTCGGCGATCGCTCCTCCTGAGCAATGGCAGCTCGTTCATGCTCTCCAGTGTCGCCGAGGCTTTGTCGTCCGACTGGGTAGAGGTCGAAGCTGACGGTTGCTACGCCATCCAGCTGGACCAGGCTGCCTCCCCCAATGCTTTCACTCCCATCAGATACCCGTGGAATCCCGACGACGCTATGGTAGGTACTTGGCACATCGTTTTTCTTGCCGAGATTCGCCATCCCCTTGCTACTAATAAATAACTTCTTCAGGTTTCAAGCATTGGCTATTTTAATACCTCTTTGCCCACAGAGCCATGCCAGCTTTCTCAGGAATCTCGGCCCGTCTGCGAGCTTCGCAAACAGCTGACGGAGTCTCTGAACTTGCGAGTGCTGGATGTGCCCATCCCACCGCACAGCTCTTCCTCTGATGCGAGAGTTGCTGTGCTCTTCTCTGGCGGCCTTGACTGCACCGTCTTGGCCCGCCTCGCGAGTGACGCGGTACCGGCCGAGCAGCCCATTGATCTTCTCAATGTGGCGTTCGAGAACCCGAGGGTTGCCTCGAATCTCAAGTTACAGTCGGTAGAGGACCTGTATGAGCTTTGCCCCGACCGGATTACCGGTAGGAAGGCGTTTTCCGAGCTTGTAGAGTGCTGCCCGACGCGCACATGGCGCTTCGTAACGGTATTTGAGTCCTGTTGACTTAAATGGTACGCTCTCTTTCTTCTAACGAAATTTGATCAGATAAATGTTCCCTACAAGGAGTATTGTGCACATAGAAGCGAGGTCATCAGCCTCATGTTTCCTCACAATACCGAGATGGACCTCTCCATCGCGAGCGCTTTGTACTTCGCAAGCCGGGGTCAAGGATCTGCTACTGTTGTTCCTGGGCAGGCCGATCCGCAGCCCTACACAACCACCGCGCGGGTCCTCCTCTCGGGACTGGGAGCAGATGAGCTCTTTGGCGGCTACCAGCGCCACAGTGTAGCGTACGTCCAAAGGGGGTACCAAGGCTTGGTGGAAGAGCTGAAGCTTGACGTTAGCCGTCTCGGGAAGCGGAACCTGGGGCGAGATGACCGTGTCCTCAGCCATTGGGGTCGGGAGGCGAGGTTCCCATACCTGGACGAGAGGCTCGTCAGGTGGGCGATTGAGCTGCCTGCCTGGGAGAAGTGCAACTTCGATGTCCCGGGATCGGACTCGTATCTCGATCCTGAGAAGAGGGTGTTGCGACTGCTGGCCAGAAGTTTGGGCTTGAGATCCGTGGCGGGGGAGAAGAAGAGAGCGGTACGAGCACTATGCCAACCTCCTATACTTGAAACATAGAAGGACTATACTGATAAGCTCATCTTTACAGATCCAGTTCGGGGCCAGGACAGCCAAGATGGAAAACGGAAGGGTCAAGGGAACCACGTCCATTACAATCTAAACTATGTTTTCTAGACAAACCGTGTCTCTGGGAGCAAGTGCTCTCGAGATATTGATATTTTTTCGACCGGCGATGATGACCATCAACAGATACTGTTGAGTCGTTGGGACCATGCGACTGTGTGTTTCGCCCACCCGGCCAAACCCTTCCATGAAAACCCGGTGGATATTCATGTATACCACACGACGACTTTGATGACTTTAAAGGCAAGTCTGAGCCGGAGCATGATATTTACGATTGAAGTAGTGATGATCACCCCCTTACTGCATGCGTAATGAGGAGAGGCTATGGTATGGATGAGAGATATGATAGGCGGGCCGATGGTTATGAATATGAACGTCGTATTATCTTTCCATTTGACGCCTAGCGTAACATAATAGACTACGATCTCTTATCATATGAAGCTGGACATGGTGTGCCGGCTCCTCTATCTCTATTAATACAGCCGTTGTTACCTATGAGGAATCCCATCTCATTGCTCCCAGGCAGACAGAAGTAGGAAAATATCTATCAATGCTTCCTTTTATCTTCCACAACAATACATGTCTCCCTCCGAAGGAGATCCGCCCTTATTTAAACAGGTTCGATAATCTGCTTTCCCATGTTACTCACCATGAAGTGGCTGAATGCCCCTTCGTCGTTGTCGTCTTTGAGTAGACTTCTATCTTCAACCTCGGGCACGAGCTTGGCGTACATGCCCTGTCCTGCTCTGGGCCACGCCGGGGGCAGGGTGTCCTCCTCATTGTTAGTGAGTTGCAACGGCATTTCTTCCACGGCGGGGGCTGGCTTCTTTGCCTGCCTCTTCGTCCCGTTTCTGGCATTGGCGGTGTTCTTGATCTTCTGCTTGGCCTTGGAATTGAGGAGGCTGCGGCCGTGGCTGGACCGAGCGGATCCTCGTCTTGTGACCTTGGCCGGGGCTGAAGGGTCGGAGAACGGCTCGTGCCAGTCAGGAGATGCAAACATAGGCAGGTTCGGATGTTTCTTGGAGACTGAGACCATGATGTCTACGATCAGCTGGGGCTGGAGCTGGTCGCAGAATGATAAGATGTTGAGAAGATCTGTTTTTCTCATATTCTGGAAGTACGCCGTGCGCTGTAGAGGTGGGCGTTAGCAGAAGAAACAAGGATAGTCAAGGGAAGCAGCAAGCTTACAGCGTGATCAGTTGCCGCGCCGGCCCCAAAGCCTACCAGCTCTGGCTTTACAGGTACAATCCCCGCGGGCAGCATGGCCAGGCGCTTTTGGCGAACCTTCTCTGTTCTCTGGTCTCGATATTCCGCAGGCGCCCCATTCTGGGAGGTATTTGTGTTCTCGCATCGCTCGCATGTGAAGGTGGCTCTCTTTAAATCAGCCCTCAGAACTGGCGGAGACCAGCATTGTTGGTGGCGACCGATGCCGCAAACCTGGCAAATGATAACCTGGTTCTCCTCGAACGAGACCGAGGTACGGCACGTGGAACATTCCTGCTTCATACCGTTCGAGGCACCGATAGTAGGGCCGGGCGATTGGGAAGCGGAGGGGAAGGGCATCGTGCTCTGGCCAAAGTCGACTTCAGTGCTTGGCTCCGACTCTCGCTTCCTCTTGCGACTTGAGCTGCTCGATTCGGCCACCTTCGGATGTAGCAGTGACTTTTTGAGGAGGGACGGGTCACCTAGGGTCGATAGCGGCGGGGGTTCTGGGAGCGAGGTTCCTTTGCTCATGCTCTGGACCAATTTCGTTTTGAAAACCTCATAAGCATCCTTATTCGATTCCGCAACTGCCGTTGAGAGATCCGACAGCGTAGAGTTGAAATTCGATCCTGTGCTTTTCATCCTGTTCAGAATAAAAGATGTTGCGGCGGAGAACTGGGGGACGTAGGGTGATGCTAGGGACGGCGAGCGTGACGTTCTGTCTGCTAAAGGCGTCGCGGTGGCGTTGTCCTCTGGCCTCAATGAAGTGGGCTGAGGGGTAGAGACATCCCGAGAGTGATTAGATGTGGAATCCATCACCACGTCACCCCCAAAGCTGTGATTGCCCGGGGTTGAATCCATGGTGGGCGAATCGAGCTGCGTGATCCTAGTGAGGAAGATTGAAAAGGGAATGACAACTAGGAAATTGAGAAATGCATCGAGTTTCGGAACGGATAAGCCCGTAAAATAGATAGGAAACACTCCTCCTCTAAATCACTGCCTCATGGGCGACTTAAGCCGTTGCAATTGAGGTTGAACGTACTCAGCTTTAGATGAGGCAGGAATAGGACGATGTTGAATCAGGCACGTGCAGATCACGTGATCACCTATCAGATGAACTACCTCCTGGTTTCTGAACGATTTGGGACCCTCGAATGCGGATAATTTTTGTTTATATTTATTTTCTCTTTAAATTTGGAGAATATAACTTCTACTATGTATGTTTATTTTCTAAGTTGGATCTAACTCACGACAGCGGCTTCTTTCAGCGCGGCTATCTCAGATGCATCCAATCCAAGGCCCCCAAGTATTTCATCGGTGTGTTGGCCCAGCAGAGGCGGCGCCATTCGGACCTTGGGCTGGATCTCAGAGTACTTGACGGGAGTATTGACCATTTTTATTCTGCCACAGCTTGGGTGGTCGAATTCAACTACCATGTCACGAGCCTTGGTGTGGTCATGGTTTAATGAGTCCTGAACGTCGTTGACGGCTGCATAGGGCATCCCTTTGCCCTCAAAAACTTCGAGCCACTCTTGCGTCGTTCTAGATTGGGATATTCGCTCAATATCAGCCTCGAGCTCCTGGCGGTTGGCTACTCTGTCAGCGTTGGTTTTGAATTTCGGATCATCTTTCCACTGAGGGTTTCCTAGACCATCGGAGAGGATTCCAAAGAGCCTATCGTTGCCCCCACCAAACAGGATATCGCCATCTTTGGTTTTGAACGATCTATAAGGAACGATTGAAGCTAGACCGGAAAAAAAAGAGGGTTAGATTTCATCGGGTAAGATTTGAAGAACTTTGGGGAGGCATCTGTAGACTCACGATGAGCTGTGCCCCAGCGGCCCGAATCCCTTTTGCCACTGATGAGACAACTGCTGGCAATGTTAGCTAGAGTTGCCGTTTGACAGTCGCTCAGTGCCACATCAATATGCTGGCCCCTGCCCGTCTTTGCCCTGCCAAGTAGGGACGCCATGATGCTGTTGCTGGCGTAGAGCCCGGTGGTCAGATCGGTGACGGCAACGCCGACCTTGACGGGTGGCCCCTCCCGATTTCCCGTGATGTGCATCAGACCGAACTCGGCCTCGACCATGACATCGTATCCAGCCCGGCTGGAGTATGGCCCCGTCTGGCCATACCCCGTGATGGAGGTGTAGATGAGTGCCGGGTTTATTTTGCGGAGTGATTCGTAGTCCATGGAGTATTTCTTCAGGGACCCGGGCAGGTAGTTCTCTACCAGGATGTCGCACTGGGCGGCAAGCTTGTGAAGAATCTCCACGCCCTGGGGATGCTGGAAGGACAGGCCGAGGGATTTCTTATTTCGGTTTACCTGCGATGACAAGGCAAGGAGATGCCGTCAGCCCACATCGCCGTGATTGACTGCAGCTTTCCATGCGTGGGGTCCAGAGGATGAGACAAGGCCGAAGAACACACCCCTAAGAAATAGGCAGACTCGCCTGGACCTTCAAGACCCGAGCCCGGTTTGTAGGGTGCGTACGGCGGACCCCATGCCCTGGTGTCATCTCCCCGGACGGGATGCTCTATCTTGATTACCTCAGCCCTAGATGGCTCACTAACATCAGAATCACACTGGACAGAGTGAGGTGGTATGGAAGGTCATGCTTAATGCTGCCAAAGTATAGAACGAGATATGCTCACCCGAGGTCACCAAGGATCTGCGTACAGTATGGCTAAAGAGAATGAGGAGACGCCGTCAGTGATTCCGGTACGACGAAAATAGATGTTCTATACTGGCGGGAATCTTTTCCATACACCTGCCAAAACGCGAGTCATATCCAAGACACGGTACCCTTCCAATGGCAAGGGAGTCGATGCGTGCTTATTGTCGATCGTGCTCCTGGCGCAAGGCGCACTTCGGGAGAAGGCACGTCGGCGCTCATTGGATGCGGCTCCAGCGCCCGGAAGGAAGCACTTGGACCGCAAGGCCCTGCAGTTCCTTGCCGACAGAACAGGACCTCGTGGCATCAACATTGTGGCTTTGGAAGGGCAGTGTAGGAAAGGAAATTGGCTCTTTGCTACGTAGCGCTAGGATCCTTGAGCCGCGGACGGCTATGGTTTTGTGGAGGTGGTGGACCAGGTGCTGTTGAGCGGGACGATACTGGGCTGTTACAGGGCGCGTAGCCGTAACAGGCGACAATGGGGAGAGCCACAGCCAGCGGCAAGGCTGCCCGGCCCAAGAGGAGCAGCGATTGTCACTGGACCTCGGTCATTGCTCTGCTTGGGCATTTGATACAAGGGCATTTCTTCGGGAATGCGCCATCGACTGGGCCTTGCGACGGCGCCAATGTGATCCGCAGCCTTGTGAGCCAGAAGCGTCAAGCTTGTTGGCTGTTGGTCGTAGAACGTCTGATGAACTGGGTGCAGGCGGTTAGACGCTGGGGCAATGGGGAGCTGTCACCAACGGTCAAGTATGCACCAGCTATTACGTTGGAATCGACGGCGGCAATGCCCTGCTTGGATCTGCATGTTCCATTTCAAATGCTTGTTCGATCTTAAGACCGACTCAGGGTTCTAATAAGCTTCTGTGCCAAGGCAAGGCCTTTGAGCCCAGGTTCTGCGCCCGGGCTGGGCAATATTTGCTACTTGCATGTGCGGCAGTACAAAGACGGGGATAATGTTGGCAGTTGGGGAACAAGTTTGCGCGAAATGCAACAAAACTCCTTCATTATGCATTTCCGGTATATATAGAACTTAGAAGCGGTTGCGCCGATCCCAGGGCTCACGCTGCATGCTCTTACACTTACTGATGCCGCTCATACATGTCTTTCTACGCAGGCAGATCATTGTAGCAACACCCAGACGAAGGGATATTATCCGATGTCTGACCAGCGACGGGCGATCAGCTGTCTGCCATACTCTCGGCGAAACTGATACTATGATGATATAATGTGTGAGACAGAAGAATGCGAAATCGAGTGCGCAGACTGGGGTGGGCATCATACTGCAGCAGACACATCGCAATAACGGTCCCAATTCGGTGCTGACGATGCGGGAGGTGGCTTAGAGCTGTCTCGCAATGCTCGGGCGCCTGCGGGTAAAAGTCAAGATTCACGGTCCTCCACCGTCAGCTCCACCCAGACATGTCTGTATGGATGGATGGTTGTGGTAATATGTGTGCAGGCAGGCTTGGGGGCCGTCAAAATCAATGCCAGAGTGCAGAAACCCCGCTTCATCCGGTGTGATATGATAATCCAATGCTACCCAAAACTTGATCCTTTGCATCGCCATCACGCCGCAAATGTTCTTGGAGTCTTCTGTAGGATTAGATCGATGTGGAGGGCGGCATCCGGGAGTAGCGAAGGGCATTTGGAGAGATACGACATGGCATGATGCGCCAGGCTGTGCTCGTTGGCCGCTTGCGTGTAATGGTTTCAAAGGGCTAAGGTGAGGAGAGGTGAGGAGAGTCTGTTGGTTGGTGCACATTGGCCACGGTGGATGCTGGGGTCGCCCCAGACAGCACATTCCATTCCATGCCCTCACCTCACCTCACCCAAATGCGTGGTGTCAGCGGGAGGCATGATAGATAACTGCCGACACGACATATACGCAGGCATGGATCACATCGTGACTGGCTGCTGATGCGTTCAGCATCTTCCAGCACAGTCCAGGACCCCAGCTGTCATGGGCGATCTGTCGCACTCTTTCCCCAGGAGGGTTAAGGCCTGCTCAGCCTCGTCATCTACGAAGTCAAAAGCCTTTCCGTGAACGCCATGTTTCTGCCATCCCTGTCCCGTGTCCCCAGCTCGTCGACCTTGTCGCCAATAGGCAGAGCGACGGACCGACCAATGCACGCCAGTTTGCCTATTATAGACCCTGGCGTATCGTATCCATGGCCCCAAGGCCCCTAACCGGCTTCCCCTCCCTATGCGATGTGATGCTACGCAGACAGGCAGCTCGATGCAGAAAGAGGGGACCGATGGGCAGAGACATGGGCCAGACATTTCCTTCATGTATCCCACACACTTTCTCATGTACGTAGCGCGCGCTCCAAATTTAGCCCCCAGTGAGCTGCCAACAGCCTGGCTGCAGCCTCCATGCGGGTTCAAAAGACTGGCAGCTGCCAGGTTTCTGACCATCTTGAGTCTGCCCGAATGCTGACACTGTGACTTTGCGTATAGCTTGATTTCCATCACCTCTCCTTGCTGTGCTCATTCATCATTATTGCCCTTGCTATTGATATCACCTTGAAGACCAACCTTATTTCGTTGTTGTCTTTATCTAGTATCACGATTACGGTATAATTGATGGACGACTACCGAAGGACGTGATTGACTTCTTCCTATTGGACTTACACCGCTCTCACCACCTACCGATCATCGAATATTGCAACCGTAGATATGGCCCCTACACACAACTTCATGGCCAGTTTGGCAACTAGAAATCTAAGCTCGCTTGACTCGCCGACATCAATTGGTCTCATCGTATTCATCGCAGTTGCCGGAGCAGCTCTCCTAGGCCTCGCCATCTACCTCACCGTACGGCACCTCAAGCGCAGAAAGTACAGACAGGTCGCCCAGATGGCCATCTCTCCCAATTCCATCACCGAGTTTGACCTCTCCGTCAAGAAGCGCCCGACGCTCCACGTTACTAGGATCAGCGAGGACCAGGAGCAGCAGAGACAAGCCATGATCCAGAAGTCGCTCGCCAGCCGGACGTCCTCGCGTGCTGAGAGCCGCAACAGCCTCCTCCTCCAGGAGAGCCGTAATAGTCTCATTCCTCAGGAGACTCACAACAGCCTCTTCCCCCAATACGAAGAGGACGAGCGCGAGGTCCGCACGAGCCGCTCCAATTCAGCCGGGAGCCTCCGGGACGAGTGGAAAGAATTCGAGGCGAACCTCCAGAGGAACCGATCCCGGTCTCTTGTCAACCACCCGGGCCTCAAGACATCGTCCCATGGGCGCAGTGACAGCGAGAGCAGCGAGTTGAGCGTGCAGACACCCGCGACGGCCGAGCTGCGTAGCCATCCCATCCACCCCTCCCCCACGAGCAAACCCGACTTTGCCTCCTTCCTGCCCGTCGATATCGAGGCCAGTCACCCTCAGCACCCGATCCATTCGGGAAGCCCACCTCGATCGCATAGAGTCAGCTCTGCTACGCTACCACCTCCCCGCCACTCGATATTTCCGCCAGCAAGAGGAGGGCAGCAGCATCAGCGCCGGGTCACCTTGCAAGAGCAACAGCTGAGAGGGCAGGCTTGGATTTGAGCAGACATAATGATACCCTAAATAATGAGAGCGATAATGACTGGAGTTTCAGTTTCTTGTTTTTTACCTTTATTAAGCGCGGGAAAGGGTACATGGCGTTGAATGGATGGGATCATCGTCTTCTGGAATTTTTGGTAGATCTGTGTATCTGAGAGTCGGGGGGATATAAAAGACATCCACTACCCCTTTCAATATCACACATATCTCACCGAACTTCGTGTCTTCTTTTTGTTCTGCAACCCAAGTCTTGGATTTCACCCCAATCAGAGCCCACAAAACAATCGATAGTAAGAGCTTTTGTCTGGAACATTGTAGCGCACCTCGTCACGTCTCCCATCGGGACCATTCAACTGTTAGGCCTTGTAGATCTCAGCAGCTCAAGTATTATAAAAGGCTTAATGAAGACTTATAGTGTAAGCTATATAGAAACTATCATAAATATAAACTACATCTTCCAAAACTTTTCTGGCTCACCTACATCTACGCCTAGAGATCGATCTATACTGGTGCCACGCAACATCAACAATAACAGCTGCCGCAAACATGACTCTACAATCAGGCAGCACTCTGTGGGAAATCTAGACTTACCTAGGTATATTTGTAAGACTTTTAGTATACTTGCCCCAAGTCGGAATAGTTATTTCCCCATCAAAAAGGAGTCCATATCGAGACAGCCATCTGGGAAAAAAAAAATTTCGTTTGATTTTGCGCTCCTTGTTTGCATCTTCGGCAAACCAACCTGAAATCAAACAAGTACAATCTGGAGAGGGTCATGGCGCAGACGTTGCAGTGCATCCTCAACTGCGGCTTGGTCCAGCATCCGGAAGTAGCCAACTCTTTCGTACCTCTGCACCGAGCCCACGACTGCCCGCACCACAATGCCATGGAGTTGTCGATCAGCAATGTAGGGATCAACATGGGGATTCCTAAATGATAAGACAGCGAGGCAGGAAAGTCCCGCATGGCTCTCATCAGACATTGTGATGTCGGGATAAAAGGTCGCCTTAGAGGTGTCGAGATTGAACAGCGGTATCTGATGATACAAAACGACAGTTCGGGCAGCTTCTGGAGTCGGCTCTGACAGAGTAGTCACATACAGGCAGAGGTCTTTCCAAATGCCCCTATTAGCCGAGTTTGAGGATACTCGTACACGCAGCCAGTGCGAGATGGGCCCGTCAACCGAAGCCCAGGACCAGGTGGGAATATCGCGCCTGGGCCTCCCTTTGGGCTGGCTTGATCTATTAAGCATCCAGAGCAGATTGAGAGCGAACGCCTCCTTCCAAAGCCCCGCGACGAAGTGGCATGGGACGAATCTTGCCAGCCCTTGGATGGCCACGAGCTTGTCCGTGTGGTTGGTTAGGTTGCGCTGAGAGTAGTTCTCGACAATCTCATACCAGCAACTGTGGAACTCGATCTTCTCTTCTATTGACGCGCCCTTGAAGTGCACGAGCGTTTCAAAGGCACCACGCATGCCCATCCGAGCCGACTCGATCATCTCGCCTCGCCAAGTCCTCCACAAGAAATACTCTTGGTAGGCTTTGAAGTCTCTGAAGACACTGAGTAAGTCGGAGAAGTCCAGGAATTCAAGCACGTTCAGGGAGAAGCTGGAGTTCCAACGCAAAACGTTTCCGTTGGCACGTATACCGCCGCGATCCTGTACTGGCCACCAGGGCACTGTGCCGGTATCGCCCAAGAGCCTGGATACTTCGGTTCGCGTCCTCATCACGGCGTCCCAATCTATCTCGTTCTCCCATGTGAGTATGCTTTGACCTAGCATGTCCGGAATCTCAAACCTCGGAACGCGAAAGGAGGGTAGGGAGGGTCGAGGAGGCCTTCTCGGGCCGAGCGGGACTTGCATTTTACCGTCCAAGCGGAAATGCGTCTTCTTGGGATATGGCTGGCCAAAGCCATGACTGCTTGAGGCTTGCATCTCATTGCATTCGAATAGGACGAGGCCTTCGCAAAAGTGCAGAATCCGGCTCGCGAGTATGCGCTCCTGAAATGTCCATGCCCGCGTGGTCAGCCGTGCCGACTCAACCTTGTCCTTGAACAGGTCGGCCATGATCATGTCATATCTCATTGACGGGAAAACATCTAGCGAGGTGCCTCCTTGCCGGCCCAGGTGGCAACCGCCCGCGAGGGACATCTTCGGAAAGAAGCAGCCGCCTTGCGAGTCTGTGGAGGCTGTTGCTGATAATACACACGTCGCGTTTGCGTAGACGAGACCCATGGTTGGAGCTTCCTTCAGCCAGTCTTCTTGGCTTTCCTGGTGCTGAATGATGCATAGAGCGTCGATCCACAGATATCGGATTCCCAGCTCCCTCGTGATTTTGATGGCGTGCTGGTAGTTCTTGTCCCATGTGGAGAAAGCAGTGGGCTTCGTCATGTCGTCGATGTTCTGTTGAAGGAGAAGTGTTTTTGTTGAGTTGCCCCAGCAGTAGCTCAACGCAGCGTACTCTTGAACGATTCCCGGCGTTGGCAATTCCGAGGTCACGACGAGGCGAACGTCTGGATCGCCATTTTCCCCAACGTCAATGAGCCGCGTGGGACGGAAGCCTCGCAGGCTTTGATCCATGAAGTTAGTCCCGCATCTTTTGTGGTCGCTAATACAACCATCGATTTGTCTCCTCGCCCATTTCATAACACTGGATGAGTTGGTCGTGTCCAGAGCATCACAGTTGTGGAATCCGAAGACTAATGCCAGGATGTTAATGCTGTTTTGTAGACTGGGCGTTCGGACTTCTTACATACGTTTGTTGACCTCCCCGACCGCTAGAGGACGCCCTAATGCTTTATGTCCTGACTCGTTGTCTACCAGTTGAATGCGCAATAGAGGTCCCTCTCGGATGTGGGCTTGCTCCCATACTTTGATCATGTGTGCGGTTCCCGCAGCTTCCACGGCGCCACTTGATCCATCTTGCCATTGGCTCCCGGATGTAGCATCGACAGCTGATTTGGAGCCCTTCAAAAGGCTACACAAGGCACAGCTCTCCGAGGATGTTATGAGGTCGTAGTTCGTAAGATGCGGGTGCATTTCAAAAGGCCTTGTGAAAAGCCGCCAGGTGCCTGTCAGAAGAGCAGATGAATCGACCAGCGTCTGACATGTGCTACACAGCTTGCTTTCTCTCTCTCGGATGCATCCTTGAGAACACTTGGACCCTGCACCTTGTCTATACCGAGGCCAGCGTACAACGTAGAATTTTGAAAACAGAGTAAGGAACAGCGAGAACACAAGATATAAGGAGGAAATGGTCCATTTAAGAGTGAAATAGAAACAAAAGTAGCAAAGGAAGCATATAGGTAGAAGTATAGAAAAGGGTAAAAGAATAATAAAGCGAAGACAGACGAGAGCTATAAAAATCAGCTGAATGAGGAAGGAAACAACGAAGAAAACGATGACGAAGGGAGCTGAAAGAAGATTCGCTAAATACGAGAGCAGACGCAGCAATGATGACCGCAGTATCTCAAAACCATAGAGGAAGATGACCAAGAAAAATATTTCCGTCGGGAGTAACAATAATAGCCCAGGCTCCATCCAAAAATGATACAATTGCCACTCTATGAAGCCAGCCCACAGGCCAGGAAGCAAGACGTCTTCAAAGAATTCCATCCTAGTGTGACATAGTAAGTAAAGCAGTGACGGCTTGATTACGGTCCCTCGCTTCCGATCAACGAGTCTGCTAGCGGTTCGACTACGAAGCTGGCAATGTTGTGAGTGCATAATCTGACCTTGACCCTTGTTTCCTCTGAGGGGTTTTATCTAGGTCCTCATCCAATCAATGTTAATCCAAGCACCTGTCCTACCACGACCTATGTTTTCACCTCGAGAAAACTAAGCTTTAGCTTTGGTGGTCAATACTTATCAAAGTAGCATTAATAGTTTACTTTGATCTTCTATAAAATTTATTATCAGAGTATAAACAACAAATTTATTTGCGGCGCCCAAAAGGGGTGGATTTCATCATCTAAATACCTAGGTACTTGAAAATCAAGAATTCATACTACCTGTTAGATAAGTGCATATAGTTCGTGATACGAAGCTTCAATCACCTATGGAGATGTACGTTGTAATCTCAGACACCTACGTGCCGTCAGCAGCTAGCTCTTTTGAAAAGCTGGGTGGTAGTACCACTTCCATCTTCTCACACTTCTGTTCCCCTCTGCTTGGAGAAGTCGGTATAGATCATCATCACAACCAAGGCCGGAGCCTCTATTGTCCCTTTGGAGCCCCTGCACCCAGTGTACTGCCATCACGTCATTGTTTCTGCTGTGGAAGCCAATGCTATTCTTTATTCCAGGCAGTAAGCCCCGAACAATCGGGAAGTTTGCGATCAAGTCCTGGTTGTGGATGAAGTATTCTGTAAACCTATTTTCTCCCTTCGATCAGAACAGCCCTTGCTGATCCTTTCATCAGCCTCATCCGCGCTCTATGCGCTTTTCACCAGTGGATCTAACCTTGAGCTCTACTGTAACTAAGGAAGATCAAAGAAACACTTTTCAAAGGATAGCCGAGTACCGAGCCCCAGCCGTGGTTGATTGAAACCCGCGCCTACCTCAGGCTGCGCCAATCTCGTTTGTTACATTGACGAAGGCCTCCCACTGCTTCCAAGCCTCACCACTCTTGAGAGCCCAGCGAGCACGTCTCACGCCCTCCTTCCAGCGCTGGCCGCCTGGGCCGCGCTCCTGAATGACGTTTCCATCATCGCCGGGACCCATGTTGCTCGTGTCCGCCTCGCAGATTCCAGAGGCCACGAACAGCGTAGAGACGTTGATGAGCACAAACTCTAGCAGGGGGTCATCGTCAGGGAACTCGTTTTTCAGGATGCGCCGCAGGATCTGCGCATTCTCCTCTGGCTCCTTCCCGCCCGAGACCTCGCTGAGAGCGTGGGTGCTGAAGCCGAAGTCGCTGGGCTGTATCTGGAAGTGCTCGATGAAGGTCTCGCCGCCGGGGGTCCGGTCCTTGACCATCCAGCAGTTGGTGCGGCCGGCGCAGCTGACCTCGTCGAGCTCCTCCTCGCCGCACACGACCAAGGCCTTCCTGCTGCCGGCGATCTGGAGGGCCTCGGCGAAGGCGGGGCCGAGGTCCCTCCTGGCGACGCCGATGACGCGGGCCTCGAGCAGGTCCTCGACGGGGTTGGAGAGGGGCCCGATGTTGTTGAAGATGGTCCTCCAGGGGAGCTGCCGGCGGATGGGGGCGACGTACCGCATGCCGGTGTGGAAGAGGGGCGCGAAGAGGAAGGCGTAGTTGGTCTCCGAGTACACCCTCTGGATGTTCGCCGGCGACACAGCGCTCAGGACCGGGGGGCGGGGCTGCATCTGGTTGACCAGGTCGGCGCTGCCCGACTTTGACGTGCTGGCCTTGTTTCCGTGCTTGGAGATGAAGAGCAGTGACGAGCCGATGATGGAGGCCGTGGTGCTGATGTTGAACGTGTTGTGGGAGTCTCCTCCAGTGCCAACAATGTCACACTGGCGAGTAGAGATATAAAGTTAGCCCCTGATTTTCGAATTATATGCCTTTTACCTTGTCTACTATATATATGCATATATGCGCGCCAAGGGAAGGGCAAGAGGAAGAAAAGAAGTCTCTCACCAAGCCACCATTGTACTGCCCCTCCTTTCTCCCACGCTTCTCGATCACAGCCCGGAGAGTCTGCGAATCAATGGGCTCGGCTGCCTTGCGCATCGACGCTGCGCATTTGGCTAGAACCTCTGCCTTGAAGTCCAGCTGGGTGAAGTGAAGGGCCATCAGCAGCGAGGCGGTCTGGGCCTCGCTGACCTGGTTGGTGAAGAAGTGCGAGATGGCATCGGCAATCTCATCACTGGACACCTCTGCATGGATGGGCCAGAGCTTGGACAACAATGGCTTGATATTGATCAGGGGCAGATCCTGCCCGCTGGCGTTGCCTTGTGCTGCGGACATTGTGGGCGCCGTTAATCCTGATAGCTCGCCAAGTAGCTGGCAAAGGATGAGGAAGGAAGACCTGTGATTGATGAGTCGCGTTCACAGACAATTGAAGGTCTAGCCTGAGTGGTGGTCTGTTCGTTTGAATGAGTGTACGGACCAGACGTCTTTGTGAAAGGAGGCTTGATTGGGCTGGCTGCTGTACTATCCGCAGTTGGGTATGACTCAGGCCCGCCGAAAGCGCCCCAACTGAGCGATTGTCTTAGAGCAGGACACCACAACGTCTGAACATTTCCAAGTGTCTGCTTGGGTATTATTCAACTTGCAACTCCATTCTCGGCGATGCCACCTGCTTGCCATTCCCAATTGATCAAGAGTGTAGGGCAATTCTCATTCAAATGGATGCGACAAACCATTGGCATGCCGCCTCTAGTTGGGTACACAGATAGAGCTGTCCCCCGCCTCCAGAAAGTACATGTAACTTGAACATGTATTTACAATGGAAGCATTCCACATGTCGCAAAGGGCTCTTCACTGTGCATTAGACATATCGCACCTATCAGACCTCGAGAAGCCCCCACAAGGGTGACAACCGTCCATTGCAATACCACTATTCCGACTCTGTTCGAGCTGGCCGCGTCTCGAGCTGCGGCATCGCTGTGCCAATAGCAGCAGTGCGGGCGACTGTAGACCATCCTAACCCCGCTGACATCACTCCACTGAAAAGTACCACCTCCAGCAGGCCAAGCCTGGAGAGAATCCATAATTTATTAAGGCAAGACCGCCAGCGAACCCGCCAACTTGTCTGACTTACAACCTCTATACTCGCTCGCCCAAGATGCCTCCCAACGCCATTATTGCACCCTCGATTCTGTCGGCCGACTTTGCCCAGCTCGGCGCAGAATGCGCCCGCACAATGGACCAGGGCGCCGACTGGCTCCATGTTGATATCATGTAGGAGCTCCTGCCCCGCATTGGAGAAGGTCCTTTCGAGAGTCAGCTCCAAGCTGTTTTAGAAAGGATGGGGAGCAGAGGGGGGGGAAGGATATCAATGAACTCATGCGCCAGTGTAGGGATGGCCATTTCGTGCCCAATATCACCTTCGGAGCGCCCGTCGTTGCAAAGATCCGCTCCCACGTTGACAAGCCCACCGAGAACCATGGCCGGGGCACCTTTGACTGCCACATGATGATCGCAGAGGTAGGAACGCACAACGACGCCCCCCATTGACCCTCCTTGTCATGCCCTGCTGGTTTAGATTCGCAGCGCTAACGAATTGGCTCGCCCGATCTCTCGTAAAGCCCAAGAAATGGGTCAAGGAATTCAAGAAGGCCGGCTGCGACCTGTACTGCTTCCACTATGAAGCTGCCTTCTCCTCCGCCGCCGAAAGCCCCGAGCAAAACACGGACGAGAAGACAAGCCCCAAGGCACTGATTCGATATATCCATGACCAGGGCATCCTGGCTGGAATTGCTATCAAGCCAGATACACCCGTGGATGTGCTGTGGGAGATTTTGGAAAACCCTGAGGAGAAGGAGAGACCAGATGTATGAACTTTCAACTCCCCACACCCCTTGGGAGGTGTTGATAGCAGGACCTTTGAGGTTCGCTTGGAGAATACGAAGGTACACTAAGACTAACATAAACTACCTATAGATGGTTCTGGTCATGACAGTTCACCCCGGATTCGGTGGCCAAAAGTTCATGGCCTCCGAGCTGCCTAAAGTGCAAGAGCTACGAAAGAGGTACCCCGAGTTGAATATCGAGGTTGACGGGGGTCTCGGGCCAGGAACTATCGACCAGGCTGCCGATGCTGGCGCCAATGTTATCGTGGCCGGCAGCGCCGTGTTTGGCGCCAAGGATCCGGCTGAAGTCATCGCACTGCTCCGGAAGTCAGTGGACGAAAGAAGCCAGAAGCTATGATTAGAAGCAATATAGATGGTCAATTTCCAGGCGTATAAAGTGCAAATATTTGATGCTGGTACCCATGGCGTAGAATAGGCCTCGCATTATGTAGACACTGAAGCATTCGCCCGACCCTGGGGCATACAGAAGGTTTAACCTTTCAAGATTGCCCCCTGTATGCGATGGCTTTTACATGGGCAAGTAAAAAGGCGAACTTTCCACGATTGTAGTCACCCTTCTTTCTCCTCCTAGTACTTACGAACCATGGATATTGTGAGAGGAAAGACATTTATAAGCCTAGGTACCTACCTAGGTAATTGTGCAGTAATTATTAAGTGTTAGTCGAGGCGAAGGAGATGATAGATTGTCTGGAGGCCCAAGGGTGAGAAGGGATATGGCGGGTGGTGGAATCGCCTAGAACCATAGGTAGGTTCCAGGATACAGCAACGAATTGCTGCTAGAGAATGAAATTGAAGTATAAAAAGAAAAATTGCTCTTCCCAACACGATAAGTTCGTAAAAAAGGTGATGCCTGAATTTAGGGTTCGCCTATTCTCGCCCGACAAGAAGTTCAATTCTAGCGGGAGGTCATAGGGGCCCTGTGTACTTGACTTCTACAGTCCAGTACATTCGTTCTCGGCCAGTAGTCAGCAAAATGTCCGCATTATACAATGCTTACCCAAGTACCCCTGATGTATTGCCCCACAACCATCCTGATAATTCAGGCTGACTCATAGTGGAAGTTCGCCTTCCACCTGATTCTGGTCTTTGGGGCGGAGCGCAGGGCAGCAGGTACTAATCCCCATCCTTCGTCCCCAATCTCACATTCTCAACTTCTCCTCGTCATCATTCTGTTTCTTCAGCCTCTTGCCGCCAGAAGTCGGTCTGCACTCACTTCAATCAGCCAAAAACCAAATCTCCACGACATTCTCTACTCGCTCAACACAAGCGACCACTTCCACGCCGACTTTTCGCTGTTCTGACGTTGTTTGTGCAGCGCTCAGACACCTTCACTGGTCCAGAACAGTCGGCCGGCAGAGTTTTCTGTTTGCTGCTCCAGCCTTTCCATCTAGAAGTTGATATTCCAGTCATCTCAAACTACAGCTACCTTCCGTCATCGATAATAATCTGGATGAAGGAAGATTCCTTTGTCATTTAATATTCTCAAATTTCCTCTCGAGCGTCGCCTTTGATTTTACGATTACATCTCCTTTGTGACACACAGTCGCACCAAAAAATACACAGACGCATCACGCGCATACTTTCTTTATCGACCAGGGCCAACTCCGTCATTCTCACCGCTCGCCCAACTTCTCTCTTCAACACTCTTCTCTCTCCCTCCACACACCGCCAAAGTGCATTCTCCACTCTATCTCCAGCTTGTGAACGATCGGCTCTGGACCTGCGAAGAACTCAAACAAGAAGAAGCAAAGTCTACTCGTCGGGCTATTGCTAGGAAGCGGGTTGAACTGCGAAGGCGGAATAAGGCTGCGAAGAAAGCACGAAAAGTGTTTGACGAAATCAACAACATCTACACAGCGAAACCGTACCAGGCCAAGATGTTCCCGCCAACTGGCGGAGATGGAGCCGGCGGGTTCAAGGAGGATTTGAACAACGTGTTATGTTGTCCAGACTGCAAGGAGATCCCCCCCAACCTGGTGGAGGAATTCTCTAGCGGAGACATGGTGTGCCAAAGTTGCGGAGTGGTTGTCGGTACCCGCATCATCGACACAAGATCTGAGTGGCGAACTTTTGCCAACGACGACCAAGGTGGTGACGACCCCAGCCGTGTCGGTGGACCTCAGGATGAGTTCATTGAAGGCGAGCAGTTGGCCACCAGCGTTGCCTTCTCTGAGTCCAAGGCACACAAGGCTTTGTCAAGAACCCAAAACAACACAAATGTCGACAAGGGACAGAAGAATCTCATGCAGGGCTACAAGGAGATTGTGGCACTCTGCGAGACTATCAACATGGGCCAAAATGTGTCGAACGCCGCCAAGCACATCTTCAAGCTTGTCGACAAGCACAAAGTTCTGAAGGGCAAGCCTCAAGAGGCCATCATTGCTGGTTGCATTTTCATCGCATGCCGTCAGAATAACGTTCCTCGTACATTCCGTGAAATCTTCAACCTCACGTCAGTCCACAAGAAGGAAGTCGGTCGAGTCTTCAAGCAGCTCCAGGCATTCCTGCTTAAGATTCAAGACAAGGAGGGTGGAGAAGGCGCCACCGGCTTGAACACCGTCACGCACTACGAGAACACTGCTGTTGGTGCAGCTGAGCTTTGTGGTCGCTACGTCTCCCAACTTGGCTTCAAGAACCAACAGAAGATCTCCAAGATCTCTCGTGAACTGGCTGAGCAAGGCATGGCCAAGAACCAGAATCTTTCTGGTCGATCTCCTCTTTCTGTTGCAGCCGCTTGTATCTACATGGCATGCCATCTGGTTGGAGAGCCCCGCGCTTCTCAGCCGATTGCTAAGCAAGCTGGTGTCAGCGACGGCACTGTCAAAACGGCGTACAGGTTTCTCTTTGCCGTCCGAAATGAAGTTGTCAAAAAGGAGTGGCTCACAGGCGACATTACCATGGACAGCATCCCGCAAGTCCAAGCGTAGAGCGCTGGAAAGCGAGGACAGATAGTCCCCCAAAACAGAAGTCAAACTGGAAATACTGAGTTTACTCTCAAGTGTATCCCCGAAGAAGAACAACAACAACAACGTTGATGGAATCGATACTGCTATGTATCGCCACAAAAAAAAAAGCCCTTGATTTCCTGCGCTGCTTTATGTTTATGACTGAAAGTTGATGCCAGTTGTGCATTTAATACAAAATAAACCGGCCCCAGCGCTTCTGCTAGCGGAAGAGCATAAAAAAATGAAAAAAATCCTAAAAAACAACAACAACAAGGGATCTGAGCACCAAGACAGTCTTGAGTTTGGCTACGATTTGAAGGGGTTCTCCTACCCCTCCCGCTTTTTTGCTTTTCAGTTTCCCTGCTGTGGTTGGACAGGGACTCAAGGGTTTGACTTTGGTATTCAAGTCTTGGTTTGGCTTCAGGGTGCAAACTTCGCGTGGAAGATTGGATTGCTAACTACTCATGGGAGGTCATTGGCACGGGATAACGCGCGCAGATTGTGAACTTGATAGCGAGTAGGCAGTGAGTAGGATGACAATGCTCTCTCTCTCTTGGCCATGCTATCTTTTATCATATTTTTGGGTGCTGTTTGTCCGTGACGTGATGCCGATATCCCTAGAGTTGTCCAGTGCTCATGAGATGCTAGTCTCCCTTCTAATCCACCTATATCTCGCCCTTTGATACCCCTTAGTAATGCTGACACTGTCACAGATAACTCTTTTTATAAACTTTTTTTTTTCCTCCTGGATGAGGTTTTATTTTAAACTCGACTGAAGACGAAAACGAAGGCTAGCCCCTACAATGGGCCGAGCCTTCAGGAGTAGCTTCATTCAACAAATATATTCATACAAACAAAATCCTGTTCATCTAGTGTCCCCTTCCAACGTGATTGACGTGGCCAATGAAGTACTTCGTAAATGCTGAAAGCTCTTGAGTGCGTGGATTTCTGTCGCGTGGAGCTAGGAGGAAAAGCCGATTCCAGCCAATATTCCCGGCTTGACTCGTTGGGAAACGATTCTCCGGACGGGGCGCGGCCCTGTCCTCCAATCAAGCTTTCTTTGCCTGACCCTTGTCTTTCGGTGGACACCCGCAAAGCAACTTGCGTCACCCTCAGGTGCTTTGGCAGCAATTGATCGTTGATGAGGTAGGATGGACACGAGCAGAACAATGGGCAGGACGTTAGACGTCCAGTAAGTGAGTGGACTGTCTGGCCTTCGGGGAATCAAGTCATGTGACGATCTGGCCGCGTTCTAGATCGGTGGTGTCAGACAGGACTAAAGAGATGTCGACTCTAGACGCACGCAACGCTCTTTGTGGTGCCCGTTAGCGCCTAAATAAGCGTGCGAATAGTTTGTGGCAGGTGTGGCACAGGCATCTGAAGATCGCGGCCGGGTTTGGGGACTTGGGATCGTTTCTCTCCAGAATGATGAGTTTTGATTACGCTGCCCGCCCCCATGAAGTGACGAGTCTGATAGTTTCTTTCTGGGGCCTGTCCATGTCCGGGTCCGGGAATACAATGGATGTTTAATTTATTTTGCAAGGGACGTCCAACCGTGAGCACCTGAGCACTGAGATGAGCTCCTCCCTCGCTCCTGCCCCTGCCTCACGACGACGGCCACCAAAAGTGAAGCCTTCCCAATGGACGATCTAGGCCCAGGATTCTCTTGAGGCTCGCCACATGATGCAACCAAGTAGCTCGGATCGGACCTCAGCGCCATCGTGACTCGCGGGCGGTTCTCTCGCCTGGCACACGTTTTCCTCCGATTTGCCCTAGCCTGGGCGCCGGCTGGACCAGTCCTCACACCAACTGGCCCCACGTTGGTCCATCTCGAGGCATCACCCCTGGCCCGCAATGACACCACAGCCTTCCACCCCGGCCTGGCCTGGCCTGGCCTTGTCTGGTGTCGTCGACGAAGTGTCAGCCATTAATCTTTCTGACCCATGGTGATATTTATCTATGTCTGCGATGTTTTCCCTCCCCAACCTCTCCCGGAGAGGTGAATCCCTTGCTTGACCTGTATCGTCTGTCGCCATCACCAGATCTGTCTCCTGACTGTCCTTCGGCGCTTCACATCCTGGCCAGATCCCCACCGCAGTGAAAACTCACAGCCGTTCTCGATACGAAGTCTTTCTCTAGGTGGAAACAGGAAATTAGGCGACTTGGACGTCTTGTTATGGCCCATTCTTAACCCTCGGCCCCAACACAACACCCACCAGACTTTTGTTCTTGAAATCTATCGCCTTCCTCTTCGCCTCATATACCCGACTTCAACTAGGTTCTGAGTGTTCTTTATGAGAGGCGGCGAGGCCATGGACGAGGCAACTCGCCCGAGGTTCTCGCTAGCCGGTACCTCTTCAAACAACCGTTTATATGACAAAATCGCATCCCG